GGACCATTCTTCTAGATCTAAAAGTATGATCCAATCAGCGCGAAGGAAACTTCCAACAGTTGCAAAATAAACGTTCTGCTGAACGCAACCATTGTTACCGGCACCGGCATAAGTTAACGGTTATGGCCATTATAAATCAGGCTTAATGGTTCCTGCACACAGGACGCGGAAATGCTTGCCGCGCGGCAAAATGTGACGCGTAGCCAATAAGCTAAGGGCGCATTCACACCTTGACGGAAAAGCAGAAAGCGGAAAAGCAATGACCAATCACAACTCGCGCTGATAGTAAGGCTGGAATCAGACTACGCATTAAATATTGAGATTGAAGATTGAAAGATTGAAATTTGACCAATCAAAACAATAGGAGCTAAAATTCCTTTTTCCTCACTGGTCAAATTTTAATTTTCAATCTTCAATCTCGATCTTCAATGCGTAGTCTGATTCCGGCCTAAGTAATACAAAAAGCCGAAATTGTCGAATACCAGCGCGAGTTCTGATTGGCTGCTGCTTTTTAGCTTTCTATTTTTCCGTCAAGGTATAAAAGCGCCCTTACAGCTCCTAACATGTTCATTGATTACCGCGTCGCATTTTGCCGAGCGATAAGCTTTTCCGCGTCCAGTGTGCAGGAGCCACAAGCAATACAAGCAGACCTTATAGCATCCTAAATAACAAAAAAGATAGTACAATATGTATGTATGTACATAATATTTTAGTTGTATTCCAAAATTTACTGCCAGTACTAAACATTTATAGTATGTAGCGTAAACTATATATTTTGTATGTAATTAAAAAAGAAATGATTCAGGAGTGGAAAGAGAGGGAGTATATAATTTTTTAATACGTTAAATAAAATAACATAGAATTTTTAGAACATAATTTTATTGGTAATTCTTACTTATACGTATAATTTAATGAATATGAAATTTTAATTAACGACCAGAAATTTTACGTGGACGTTATGTTACGATAAATTGATGACTTCGGTGACTAAATTCTAATTAATTTAATTGCCGATTAATTTATTACATTATCCTTTAATTCATTTTTGTTTCTTTGTAAATTGTTTGCGACTTTTTTAAATACACTTTTCTTTTTTAGAAATTTTTAATGCGCGATTACACGTCTGTTATATAATTTATAGCCGATATTTTGTGTGTCATACGATAAAGTTTTTCAAGCTTTTTGATTGGTTCTCGGAAATATCGAATCTGCCTATCATTCACTCTGATAAATTTATATATTCTGTGACCAATGATGAGCGTAAAGCGTAACCTAACCTAATGTCTCGATCATCTGTCATCTCCAAAGAGCACCAGAGTCGTAAAAATCCTGTTTTACGACTCATAAACGTTTCAATTTTCTGTTTGTGAAATGTTATGAAAATTATTTTCGTGATTTGTATAATCATGCATACAGCATGTGCCTTAGGCTTTCTGTCAAATTGACGCTAATAATTCATGTAAGTATTGTTTGTTAAACGAACAAATGTATGCCATCCTCAGTAAATTTGTTCATTAAATAATATTTTGTTTTTCAGATAGCAAAATAACGTGGATTATATCGATACATGTTCAGGATCTTTTGCAAACAGTTTATAGTACTTTCTTTTTAAAGAACAATAACAGTTACTTGATAGTATTGCAAGTTGATAAAGCTCCAATGATGAATATGACAAAGAAGATAAATGTCAACTTTTCATCCCTGGTAGGTCTAAAGGCAGAACTGTTAAGAAAGCAAGCTGAAGTAAACGAGGCCAAGTTGAAAACTGAGTCTATTAATGCACCGCCATTGTCAAGCAAGAAAAAGAACAAGAAGATTGTTGCAGATGTAGAAAAAAATGTAAAGAGACCCATGGATTCGGAGGATATTGTCGCTCACAAAAAGTCAAAATTAATGTTGAAAGCCAAAGCGAGATTGTACGAAAGATTGAAGAAATCCAAAAATAATAATGATAAATTTCTTGTTGATTTTGAGAATAAATTGGATGAACCCGATGAAGAATTTGTGGATGAAACGATTGATAAAGAACATCCTATAGAGCCAGAGGAAAATTGGGTGGAGTATCAGGATTGTTTTGGACGCACAAGAAAATGTTTGCGTGAGGATTTGCCACACATGCAGAAGAAAGATGAATTGATAAAGCATGAAATAATGAAGAAACATATTGATGAAGACAAAGCAGAAGAGTATAAAGAACAATATCCTATTCCAGAGAAAGAACCTGAAATAGAAATCATGAGAAGAAAATGGGAAGAACAAACGCAAAAGCTTGCGGACAAGGTGGACATACACTATCAAGACATATTATTTGACGAAGCACGAACACACGGTGTCGGTTACTATGCGTTTTCGCAAGATGAAGAGGAGAGAATGAAGCAGCAAGAAAACCTAAGAAACATAAGAAAGGAAACGGAAAGAAAGCAAAGGGAAATGAAAGAAATCAAGGAATTGAAGGAGAGATTGGAACAGAATAGACTAAAGACGGCGAGAATTAGACAACGTATCAGAGCAGGTTTGCCAGCAGAGCCTACAGAAGAGGAATTGGCCCAAGAAAACAAGTTAACTAATTCAATTGACGATATTAACACTAGCAAAGATGAATCTGCTGAGAAAGATAAAGAAAACTCTAAGGAGAATGTTGATCATGTATCTACAAGTATCAATGAAACTCCTCAAGAAAAGAAGACTAATGACGAAGATAAGATAAAAGCTCTTGGAGAACTTTTAGACAAGAAAAATCACTGGCACATAATGTCGCAAGAAGAATGGGTGGATAAATGTAGAGCGCAAAGAATTAGCGAGTTTGGGCCGGTTTATGATAACTTCAAAAGTGCCGGATTTTACAACAGTTCTCAAAGTATCGATGAACAGTTAACTCATAAAGAAAACAAAGAACTGAATAACATAGAGACTTGTAATTCTCAGGAATCCATTGAAGAATCTAATAGCAATTTACAGAATCATGAAGGTAGTAACGATTCTGTCGATAATGAGACAGTCTTAATTGTGAAAGATACTGATAGCAATAGTCAGAATAAAAACGATTTACTAGAATATAATATAGCTGATAACTCTCCTGTATCATCTGAAAATACAATAGGACCGACCTTAACCTCTACTGTGACTTTACCTAATGTATCTCAGAGTCAAGCAACAGTTTCATATCCGTTATCTCATCTATCCAACAATTATTCACGAAATGTATATGGATACTCTGAGATATATACATCTGAACAACAAACTATGGATATCCCTCTTCCTGGTGAAAATAATGTTTTATCTTCAGCTTCCAGTAGTGTGACTCACACAAACAAACAAGAATTATTATCACGAAGTATAAATGAAGATAACATTATGGCAGGTCTTAAATATTTAAGAAAAAAATTCGAAGCAAGTCATAGCAAATGGACATAATAAAGTATCGTTTATTAATGTTATATTGAATGTAATTTTACTGTATATAAATAGTAACTTAATTTTATAAAAAATAAATGTATAAATCTGTGGTTTGCAGCATTTATCTCTCCCAAACAGTCCGTGTAACCAATTAAACAAAGCATCTTACATCAGTCCATTCTTATGTTTTCGTTTCAACTTTTTGGTTTGACTAGACTGTGCCATCTCATGTATTTCCATACTCATCTGTGATGTATCTTCAATATCCATGGCACTAGTGTTACTACCTACAAGCAATATTTTTCGTAATGCTTCAAAAAAGTTAATATTTGAATATTAAGAAATAATGTGTGAATATATATACAGATTGATATAATAAATATATCGATAGTTAAATTGTTAAAACATAAGAAAAAAATAAAATTAAAAAACAGGACAAAAAGTTACTAGAAAGATTCTGCCTCGGTGTAGAAAATTGACAATTAGGACATCCTAAACCATTTTGATTTTTTGCATAATTCTTCAGACAATAAACATGTATAATAGCATCACATTTGTTACATTTGTCACCCTGCAAGATGATAAAATCTATCATCGTTGTAAAATAAGATACACATATTCAATATTTATAAAAACATTACATAAAAAAGTTCCTGCTTGCATAAAGCACAAATTTGAAGATTCTCCTCATAAGTATCTTTAAAATATTGCAATAATTCTGCTATGCTTCTTACTCCCATATAATATTTACCATCCTGAAAGATATGCGTCTTCATAATATTTTCCTTTAAGATACTACCAGAATTATATAATATAAAAATTTAATACCTTACAGCATAACCATTGTCTATTGACCATTTTGAATAGAAATTGTTCGGCATCAGATTTAGTCAGTCTTACATTTAGTGATGAACATAAATTAAGGCAAAATGTACTTGATACACAGCTATCGGTAGAAGTAACAATTTCAGAATATACATTTCGCAAGAGAGCTAATTCTGCTTGTGAGAAATGCGAAACAAAGCTGAAAAATAAACATAACTGCAAAATTCGTGTAAAAGTAAAATACACTAGTTGATAATACTTAAGTAGGTGTTACCTAGCAGTTTTGTCTTGCACTGTGCTCGCGAAAATCCAATATAACTCTCCGGTAACTTCGCAATTTATGCATTTTATGGTCATGCATAACGGTCGTAACTTTGCATTTATTTCACTTAATACTTGTGCCGTATTATTGTGATCTGAAATTTGTCGACAATCCGATATTCGATTTGTTTTCTTATTGTATATTTATCGTACGTAAAAAAATAGATTATTTTATCAGCTTATCGTACGTACTAAATAACCTTATAACTAATTCTTTTCCACGATCCTCATGTAAAGCACCTTCATGCATAACAGCTTGCAAAACAGTCATGTGTTGTTCGTGGTAAGGCATTTTTCAATCAACTCACTCGAAAAATTAAACAAAATTATAATCGACACAGTCGTGACTCAACCAAACAAAAGAAAACAAATGGCAATTACAAAGCGGGACTTTTCTACACATGCGCAGCAACGTACGCCATGAAGTTGCATGCACATAGGAACTAGAAGCTAGAGAGCCTCAAAGGGAGAGAGTGGCAAATTGCATCACGTGAATGCCCACGTCCAATTAAGACGGGGGTCACGTGACCAATTTTTTCCAATCTCTTTCATGCCTGGGCTTTGATGCCCAGGTCCAATCAGACCGGGTCCATCAGTCACGTGATGAAATTTACCACTCTCTCCCTGTGAGACCCTCTACTAGAAGCGTATTTTCTCTTTCTCTCTTCCGTATATTTGTAGTAATAATCTAATTGTTTTTTATAACAAATAAAGCATAATATATACGTACTACACATTTTTTAATATCTCATTTTATTTTTGACAATTTACAATAAGAAAATATTAAGGCTACTAGAAATTTTGTTTTTGGTTTTTCTTCTTTCTTATATTCTTAGTTAAAATAAGATCGCAGCTCATTTAGTTTAATCGTTATTAATACGCATTACATATTTTTTAATGTCTCATTCTATTTTTGACGATTAATTCACAGTGAAGAAATTAAGACTACTAGGAATTCTATTTTTTATAATTTTTCATTCCTCTTCTTAGCTAAAATAAAACCGCAGCGCATTCAATTTAATCGATAATCCTCTTCAATCATCAAATTATTGATTACATTGTATTAGAATGAATTAAAATCAGGCAAGTGTGCGACGAATGCCATGAACAGTTTTTTTTTCCCACGGATCACTGCGCATGCGCAGACAGAAGCGCGTACGGCGCGGAACGGCAGTTGGCGACAGTTGGCGACAGTTGGTGACACTGGCGATGACGCGCGTGACGTCAGGTCAGCCGACGTCGCGTCAACTTACGGCGCGCTGTCATCCGTTGTCACCTGTCGTCACCCTCACCTATTTCGATTCCTGTCATCCGTCATCCCCTGCCTGCGGAGCGGATTTCATCGAATGCGTACGGTATCGTTGTAGCGGCGCGCCGCGGTCCGCACTGCCGCTGACATTATGACCCACGGTTGGCTCGTGCGTCTCGAAGGCGTATCGCGAGGAGCGACTAGGCGCAATCCGCGCAACGGCGGCGACGACGCGGCGAATAGAAATTACGCACGCCGCGGCTGCTGTTGACTGACGCGTGGTGAGACGAGGCGCGGCGCGGCAAGGCGAGGCTAGGCTAGGCGAGGCGAGGTGGGACGAGGCCGCGACCCTGAGCCCGATACGAAGACGCGTGTACGAGTCCGCCTGAGTCCGCCCGCGGTTGGCGGTGGTGCAAAACGCTTAACAGCGAGATAGCAAGAGAAGCTGCGACATACGGCGATAGTAGCTGAGTAATCGACGGACGGGTTTCCGCAAACGAGAGCGATCAGCGAGGGTGAGAAGCGAACCACCTGTGATTGGCTGGATTGGCGCGGCGATCCTGCGAGGAATCTGCGCCCTGCGGTGACTTCGGCCGGGCTGGTATCGCGGACGATTCGCCACGCCGCGATCCGAAAGGTCGCGGGTTCACGATTGCCCTCCCCGGTCGTCCGTGGTTATCCGGAGAATGACGATTCGGCGGTGCGTCTGACGCGGGCGACGCGGCGGTGGCGGCGGCGGCGACGACGACGGCGCGGCGGCTTCGACAGCTTCGGCGGTAATTCCTCCCAGTAGTCGGAGTAGTCCCAGTGCGCCGGAGGACGACGACGAGTCGCGATCATCCGGCCGTCCCGATCGCCGATCGGTCGTACACGCTCCTTCGGACCTTAAGGCATTAATTGGCGGCGAGCCACGAATGTGAGGTACCGCGGACCGAACGTAGGATATTTCCTCCCCAATACACAGTGTGTGCCGTTTGTGACAGATATACGGTTGCGCGCCTGTAAAATTATATACGTTGTGTTGTACATACATATATACCTATATACACGCGAGATCCAGGGAACGAGATCAAGATGCCGCTCTTCGGGAAGAAGGACACGAATAAAAAGATCAAGAAGGATGGGAAGGACGACCGATCGCCCTCCGTCGAGGATAAGTACATCCTAAAGGACCTGCTGGGAACGTAAGTCGTCGTCCCTTGCCTTTCCCGTCTGACGTACGCGCCTCCCACCCCCATCCACCCCCTCACCAACGTCGAGGCACTTGATGCGGAGCCGAGGGAAAACACGTTTCTAACACATGTTTCTCTTTTGTAGTAAAACGGCTCAACGGTCCCCCTTTAGCGGGAATCTAATCGTCGGAGTGATTATCGCACCGCGATGTTTCACGATTGCCCCACGTTGTGGGGCTTGGGAATTTAGCGGATTAAACGTCACGGATAAAAACACGTTCCTTTCCTAGATTAATTTGATATAGTGGCTCCAACGGATATCCAATTTCCGGCTTAATCACCATTTACATTTATTAAAGAAAGAGCTAATGACATACCAAGATCTCAATCTCGCATTTTACTCTGGGAAACACGTCATTCCACGTCCGTGAGATATGCGAAACGTTACGACAAACAAATGTAAAGTTGCTGATATTTTCTTACGCGCTTACATTTCCGATAAAGATAAACGCCTATCTGCTCTCGTGTATGCGTATGTACACATTTATGATGAATGCTCTTTCGTCGATGAAAATCCAAGTTATATAATGTGATTTCCACTTTATTACGTTTCTGCATTTGTTTGGATGATAACATAGCCGATAGGGGATTGCACGATAAGGGAAGAGGCGACATGTATATCTGCGCCGTTATATCTTTTTGCAAGATCGATTAAACGTTAGCTTTAACACTTTTGTGCTTGCCACGCGTCGCATATGCGTGACATCCCGATTCGGTGTGTAACAGATTGCTTATGAGAACAGTTATGTAACTGCGGCCAAAGGGGACGGAAGAATGTTGACACAATTCACTTTTTTTTTTATAACACTGTACTCTAAATTCTTTGGAATGTATCTCATTCGAAGACCGGTATTCATAGTCAGTTCTTATATTTAAAACGTTCTTATATTTTAAGTCTTGAGATGTCATAATGTGATTTGCATCTTAAGACATTACTTAAGACGATCTTAAAATAAGAACTATGGACCGGCCTTCGAATAAGATTTACTCCAAAGAATCTAAAGAATACATGATAAAGAAGCATTATATAAAAAGAAAAGTGAAATCTTACTCTTTTCGAGAATGAATTTTTAGGGAGTCAGTCTAAAAAAATTTAAAAAAAAGTACACACGAAACTTCCCATGTCGAAGAGCATGAATAACTATCAACATAATTCGAGGGGAGAGATATAAACCGGTTCTAATTTGCAAAATATATATGTACGATCATGGCAAACTTGTTCGGTAATAAAAATTAGCGTCGTTCGAAATTCACGCGCGCAATTATTCTTTCCTCGTTCCCGCGCGCATGCATTTCTTTTCGGTTGCAGAAACGTGATATGAGCATGCATCTTGTGTGATATCCCAGGATTCCCAGGATGATCTCTCGCCCGTCCTAAATCCGACGAAATTCGTGTGACATATATGAATACGGGATGTTTCTGCAGGTTGTCGCGTGTTCCTTTAACCGCAGCTTCCTCGATCGTGATTTGGAAATTGATTTCTAAACGAAAACGTCAGGTTTCAATAGCTTTTTCTTAAATAAAATTAATGATTCTCAAGATGAAGAGTTTCTCGTGAAGTCGAGCTTCACGAAAAAAAAAGAGGATTGATGAGAAAATCTTATTTTACAGCTACACAGAAAAATATTCTGTTGCTAAGAAAAGTGATTACTCAATTTATTTTTTTTTTCTTTTAAGTATATTTGACAAAGAATATTTTCTTGATAAAATTATTTTAAAATATATTTATTATAAATTTTAGAAGATTTCATTAATGTATATTCAAAACAAGAATTTATTTTATTTTCTTTTGGAGAATATTACAAAATTGATTGAAGAAGCGACTTTATATAATAAACAAATCGATTTTGTTTTAATTTAATAATCTTGATTGAAGTATATATATAGAGTAAACTAGGATTTTCACAATATATTTTGAATAAAGTCGATGCTTGTGAACTTGATGAACTTATGATAGATTTACAGAGATATGAACTTTTGAAATACTTGAAACAATTATTATTTACGTACAGTATGTATTTTTTTGTGTATATGTATATGATCTTGAGTGGCTTTTATTTTTATAGAACTTTCACCTAACACTCTATTGCAGATATTGTAAAAAAATCAAGAAACTGATATTGAAAATTAATTCATCTTTTCAACGTTTTTAACAAGGAGAAATTGATCTCAAATTGACCGAAGAACCGACGGTTGAAAAGGCATCCGGCGACTTTTGGACATTCTACAATAGATGTATGCCTTGGCCTTCGACACGCGTCTTCTAGTTTCGAGGCGCGTGCTAAATGGATGTATGGAAGTGTTCGCGATTTAATCTCTTCTTTATTTTCGTATCAATAGACCCATTAATACGACATAACTTTCTTTTGCGAATCACGAATTGCTTTTTCCTGCGACCAACGGTTTTTGCATATTTTTCTTCCTTTTGCGACATCGCGTATAAAAGATGTTTTCGAATAACGCTTAGTATGCATTAAATCGCATTAAAATCTAATGTATGTGCGTCCATAACGATACTTTGAAATTGCTTTCTTAAACGTCATCAACTGGAATTTCTATCTTAGTGTTACATCGCGCGCATCGGATTTACGAGCTGTTAAAAGTTCTCACAACACGAAAATTTGTATATATCTCTTACCTCATCATTATTATACACTTTTTTTATGTTTCTTTATTTTTGATTTTCCAATCTTTCTTGTAGCTAAAAGAGTAAAATTTCAATATCTTGCTCTGTTGCAATGCTTTTTAATTAAATACTTAATGATTGTTGACTGAGATTGAGATCAACTTGTACAAGTGCGCTGAATATCATCAAGTTTTCTTTGTATACGAGCGTTATTTATATTTATACTTTAAAAAAAAATTTTTAGAACACGAGAATCCTTGATATATATTTCTATAATTAAATCTATTAATATACTGTTTGTCAATTATTGTGTCATTTATATAACAGTTTGGCAATACATTGCAATATAACGAACATTTAATTGATTGAGAACATGAAACGTCTAGTATGTTTTTATGTCATCTACACATAACGCTACTATAATTTTTGTAAATTTTTAGATGAATATATTGATTTACTTAAATTGAAATCAATATAATCGAATATTTTTTTAATTGTAAATTACTATATAGAAAAATAAAAAAGGTTAGAAATTATTGAATCTTATTCTTTGTTATAGTTGTAACAATATTTTTGTAAGAGCTTGTTTTCTAGTTTTAAAGAGGAAGTTTTAACTTGTACATTTATTTGCAGAGGTAGACAATTTTTTATTAAGATGCTCATAAACAGTGTTGAAATTAAAATAATATTTTATTTATTCATATGTTTCTGAAATTTGTTTGAAAGAAACGCGAAAATAGAAAATATAAAATTTAAGCAGAATGTTTTTTTTATTTTTTTAGATAATACTTTTTGGGGGTTTTTTCCGTTTACTTTTCAAAATACATCTATAGTAACGCTTAGACATATATTTCATGGCACTTGTGTCAGAATTTATTATTTGCTGCACACGTATGTAAAGACTAGTTTATAACTGACTATAACTCTATATCTTATTCTAATCGTTTGAAGAAAACAAACTGCAGTTTAATTGCATAAATGAATAATACTATCTGAAAAATACAACACACATATAGGGTCCCTAATTGTATGTAAATTTACTTTGGACCTATTATGCTAAAATATTGTATTTTCCTTTGTTTAGAGGAGCATTTTCTGAAGTGAGACTGGCGGAAAGCAAAGAGAAGCCGGGTCAAATGTTTGCCGTAAAGATCATCGATAAAAAGGCGCTAAAGGGCAAGGAAGATTCGTTAGAGAATGAAATCAAAGTTCTGCGAAGGTAAGGCGTAAAGCGATTCTGAGAGCTGGGCCATACTTATGTATTTTTAGTAGACAAATTTTTTGTTTACCAGTACTGTAAACTCCTTGTTTGTGGTATATAGCTGCTCCTTGATATTTAGGTATTTGGAAAACATGACAATTGAGTAATTTAAGTACCAGTTCTATTATCGCTGGAATCGACTTCGATATACTTATACGCATGCTTCTCTCTAACAAACATTCTTTACCTCGTAAGAATCATACTGTTCTTTGAGTATCATTCCCTCCTACCCTTGTAGCTTTGAGTAAATCAGATAGATTGACATATCATGGCATCGCAAGTAAAGCTAAAAAGTATTATCGACTTTCGCTTTCTTGGAAAATTATTTTGAGAATCGTAAATTGTTCGATTATCTGTTCTGTTATCATTAATCATATGGGAAAAGTATAAGCTTTAATCTATAAGCTACCCAAACATTGTGCTTTCTCACTTATACGATGTTATCATGGTGTTATAACTCAACTCACACATAACATGCTCTCGGAAAGTTTTTTGTTTCCGAGGAGGCGCTGTGACATGGTATTTGGGAGTGAGCTCTGATGGCTGTCGTCTGTCCTTCTATTATCTTTGATGTTGTATGCAAATAATGTGCCTCGTACATAAGCTATATATTGTCTCGATGCTGTTAAACGTATACCAGACATAATGCAGACTCAAAAGCCTTCTGTTACAATTCTTTATCCTTATGGATATATGTATTTACAATGTCTTTTTTTTTTAACACTTTGGCTGGATACGTGTTAAAGTGGTATTTTCCGGTGTTTATTAGCATTGAACTCTTTCTGTCGCTCTATTTTATTTTATTGCGACTTACATATCAGCTAAATCGAGACGTGCTAAAAGAATTAACAGTAATTGCAAAGAAAAATCAATGCTTAAGAATCCTGTTGTATCGTTATGTTATCATTTATTGATCAACACTGTAGGAATACAAGGTGCTACATCATACATATGTATATCATACATGTCCATCATACACATACTCGGAGTTTTATGACTGAAAACTTGCTCTATACATCATGTCAAACGCACCAACATCGAGAAACCACAAACATGCATACATTTATAATAACAAGGTTTTCTCTTAAATACAATGGATGTAAAACTTACATAAAAAATTCAATTTACATGTTTTATAAATAAGTGTATCAAAGTTTATATTTTAAATTTCGCGAAAAAATATTGCATGCATACATGGAAATTCAATAATATCGATCGCACACATTGATAATAGGTGTGTCGAAGGTAAAGATACATCTATTTTCATATACCGCTACCACTTGCCTTTCGCGACAATGCGACACTAACTCTGCTGCACCGTGTTTGTATAACTATATAGATCAATTTATATTACACAAATCCATCTTCTATACATCACGCAGGGAGAACGGTGTTCGTCAATGGTAAAGAATATAAAGTCAGAGAAATCTTTATTATGTAATTGTGTATGGTATTTTTATTATACTTCGTAGGTTCAGTGAAAGTGCGACACCACAGAGTGGTGGCGGATCGCTCAAGTCGGATAGTAGTGGCGAAAAGAGATGGTAAGTGCGGGCCCCAGAGTATGGGCACCAGCTACCTATACCGCTCGCAGTATATTCTGTATCACTCGACGATATGCCATACATTTTTACATTTCAGATTATGTATTGTTATCTATATATAAAGACACAATGTGCACGACTTGTGCACGTTCATCACGACGTAGCGTTAAACACAGTTTTGGTATCCTTGTACTTGCCACCTTTCGTTAAGCGAGAATCTACAGTGAATAGATAAAGGGAGAATTTGCACGTCCCACGTTTCTTGGGATAATTTTACGCGGAAGAGATAAATTTTGCTGCAAAGAGCTTCGTCAGAATGCTCGTGCTAATGTATAAAATAAACCACTCTTTGTAGCATTTTTCTTCTGTACAAAATTACCTGGAAAGAAAGGGATATGCAAATATTTTTAACTTTGTTTATCCAACTGCACATGCAAATTCTATGTGAGCTTATAATCACATCGTAAAAGTGAATGACTTTTCGAGTAAAAACATAATATAAATAACAGTAAATAAATTCGACGACAGCCGTTAGATAATACATACTGCTCTAATCACAGAGTGGAATTTGATGTGCACGATAAGAGTCTAGACTTAATCATCATATAGTATCAGATAAAAATTTCATTCAGAATGCAGAGTTTACAATGACATCGATAACAAGGATATATTATTTATGATGACGTAACAGCGTAATTTATATGCGCAACGTTTATCATATCGCAGGCATGCGGAAAAATTAGAATTTACTTCAATTATGCTTTTAAATATTTTGTTTGTACATTTTATAGTATATAATTTTGTTTATATATTCGCAATATAAAAAATTATACGAAATAAAATAGAAAATATGTACGAAATATGTATGAAAAAAGATTTGTACATAACGTATTAAAAGAATAAATAAGATTATATTCTAATACTTTTTAGTATTTCAATTCAAAACTGTTATTTTATACGAGGTTTGTCTAAAAAATTCGTATAGTTGTTGAATAAAAATTTTATTTTATTATTAATTGGGTAATTCAACCTTATCCCCTTCAAAGTACTCCCCCTCAAGTAGAATACACTTCTGCCAACGTTTCTTCCACTGCTGAAAACACCTCTTCAGTGCATCTTCGATGATGCTCTTCAATAACCTCGTCATTTCCTTTTTAATCGTTTCTATCGCACCCAAATGCCTCCCTCGAACTAGCATCTTACATTTAGGGAACAAAAAAAAGTTGCATGGTGCTAAGTTGGGCGAATATGGTGGATGCTCCATCAATGTTATTGAATTTTTAGCCAAAAACTCATGGACTCGTAGTGATGTGTGCGCTGGCACGTTGTCATGATGCAAAATCCGCGAATTGTTTCTCGCCAAATCCGGGCGCACACGAAAAACTTTTTTCACTTTTAACCTCTTTAGTACTTCAACGTAGAATTGTCCATTCACTGTTTGGCCCGGGGGAACAAACTCATGATGCACAATGCCACGGGTATCAAAAAAAAAACAATGAGCATCGTCTTGATGTTGGATCTTGCTTTTTTCGATTTTTTTGTTCTTGGTTCGCCATGTTTTTTCCACTCCATGCTTTGTGATTTCAATTCAGGGTCAAATTCGTAAAACCACGACTCGTCTCCAGTTAGGATCCTGTCCAAAAAATCTGTTCCTTCTTCTGCAGTCTTGGCAGCAATGAATTCTTCGATTTTTCTGATCAGGTGACAAAAGCATCGGAACAATTTTTGCCCACAATTTTGTCATCCCCAAATTTTCTCTCAAAATCGTGTGCACTGTGTCTTTATTCAAATTAAGCTCTTCCGCTATCATTCTGACAGTCTTTCGCTTGTCTTGAAACACGGCATTTTCTACGCGAGCAATGTTCTCGTCAGTTTTTGAAGTGGAAGGTCGTCCTGACCTCTCATCGTCTTTCACGCTCTCCCGACCTTCACGAAATCGTTTCACCCACTTAAAAACTGTTGGTTGTTTAAGAGCATTTTCTCCATAAATTGTACTCAAATCTTGAAAGATTTGGGGTCCATTTTTACCAAGTTTTGTGAGAAACTTGATGACAATGCGCTGCTCCTCGCCATCAGAAATTTCCATGGCGACAGGAGTCTGAGAAAGGTGTAGAAATAAAAGGCAACAAAACTACCTGACTGACTCTCTCGCCGGTTGGGCGTCTACTGGGGTTCAGTTAGGTTGTGAAGAGAAGGGAGAGCTCTCTGTCTCCTTTGCGCCCCTACTCTCCTTCTGTGAACAAAGAGACACGCACTATACGAATTTTTTATACAAACCTCGTATATTATAAAACGCGTTTTTTTTTCAAAAAAATAACAACGAATATCGTAAAAGAACAAATCAAATATTCTGATTATTATACGAACAATCACATATCATAGTTTATAAATTGATCAGTTTTTATTACTTAGAAAAATAAAATATTGGCGTAAAAATTTATTTATGTATATAATAATTAATAATGTATAAAACAAATTTTAAAAACAGAATATACACATTCACATTTATTTAACTGTTTATCGAAGGAATGGCAAGCTGAAATATTTGATTCTTTTATTTATGAAAACGTGTTGTTTCCATTTTCTATCTTATACGTAAATATTGCTTGATGAATTGGAAGAATCTTTCTTTTTTATTGGTTAACATAAAATTACAAGTAAATATTACGATTGTACTACTAAATTTAATTGTAGACAATTTTGTAAAGGACGTTATACTGCTGCATTTTTAATACTACTTGTTTACTTATCAGATTATCTTTATTGTAAGTTCTACAGCAATCATAAGTAGATCACTAGATGGAAATCAAGATAAACGCGTCACGTTTTATGAAGAAGAAAAACCGTCTTATATAATAACATAAATACTTCACGCTCATATATATTCCATCTATAAAAAAAACTTGCACATATCCACGTGCTGACTCATTCGATACGATGCTGTTCTAGTGTTCTTAGTGATTTGATATGCGAAAGATTTGATCAATTATGTTGCATACAGAAGTTTGTATCTTAACGAGCTAGCGAACGTATTTAATAATGAACACATTTTCTCAAGGTAATATAACGTAAAATATGTACAAGAGATAATGAAATATTCGAGCTTTATGAGAAAACAATGTAGGATAAGCTAAAGTTGAGCAAAAGTCGCTGTATAGACTCATTACGGAATAATTGTGATTTAGAGAGAAACTTCTTTCTTCTCATATTTTGTATATTTACTATATAGAAATTAAATTGTTACGTTGACATTTTCATTTACATAACACAATTGCAATGGCTATTGAACAATCCCTTATATTTTTCAGATCCTTGTACATATTTGGTAGATATTGCTTTGTTGCTATTGAATAATATTTTGTAAATAGTTATCTCTACGTGGATGTGATTGTCTGTATTTAATTAACAATCTGTGTGTCAAGTATAAGATATAATTTTAGCAAATATTGAAGCATGTTTTATTAATATATTATGCAGTCAACATTAAGTTACTTTGCATTGCTACTTAATGTTATTTATCATGTACAAGTTTATTACGATTTTATTATTTTGCGAGTTCAAGATTGTTAATTATATATGTAAATATTACAATTACGATAATGAATATATTTATGTATAAATAAGTTATTTGAATTGAATATATTTTTTAATAATAGTGACTATTATATATATTCAATATTTTAATATTTGACAATAGTAAAAAGAGCGTTGAACTGTTTTCCAATTTAAATGTTCAATTTACTAGACGATTGAGAGATTTTTATTAAATTATAACTTCTGCATATTGGTCCTTCTGAAGATACAGATATATGTAATGCTGCTATATATAATTTATTATAAATATTTATAATGGAAAGTAAGTTTTTATCTTTTAAAAAATCTTGTTCTCTGATTAACTATTATTTCATTTTTATCTTGCGTTCTTTTAGAGAGAAACGTATAACAGCACAATACAAAGTTCAATAAAATTGACTTTTACTCAATTATCATACAGAGTGTAGATTATTTTAATATATGACATATTAAAAATCATCGAATCAATTCTCGTTGTATACGTAATACATAACGGTTTTAAATTAGAAAAAGAAAACATGATATTATTCCAGGCTAACCCACCCCAATATCGTTCAATTGTTGGAGACGTTCGAGGACAAGCACAAAGTCTACTTAGTTATGGAGTTGTGAGTAATGCGTAATTTTCTATTATTCTTCGATATAATAATATCGAGGCCATCCGAGATATTGAAAAAGTAAATGTTTCAAATTATATTAGGGTCACTGGTGGTGAACTATTCGATAGAATTGTCGAGAAGGGCTCGTACACAGAAAAGGACGCATCTGGTTTAATAAGACAAGTGCTCGAGGCGGTAGATTATATGCACGAACAGGGTGTTGTTCACAGAGATCTCAAACCGGAGAATCTCTTATATTATAGTCCGGATGAGGACAGTAAGATTATGATCAGCGATTTCGGCCTATCGAAGATGGAAGATTCTGGGATTATGGCGACTGCTTGCGGTACGCCAGGATATGTCGGTGAGTTATTGAGAGAACGAGGAGGAGAGAGAAAAGAAAAAATAGAGACGGATTTCAAGCATCGATGATCAAACGTGCACTATTTTGATGATCCGCAGCACCCGAGGTTCTAGCACAGAAACCATATGGCAAAGCAGTGGATGTGTGGAGTATAGGAGTTATTTCGTACATTCTCCTGTGTGGATATCCTCCGTTTTACGACGAGAATGACGCCAATTTGTTCGCACAAATTCTGAAAGGTAACGAAATGAATTTTTAAGCGACAGTTCGCGATAAGATCTGATGCGGTTTAATCGCTACTTTTATGATCAATAATCTTATAAGAGAAGCTTAATAAACTAATTGAATTCGTAAAATATTAAATCAATTTGAAATTGCATCTTTAAGGTAGATCTTAGATATTCTGTACGACAGATATTTTTGTAAAATATTAATAAGTAAAGAGTAGTACAATATTAACATTTTTGAAATTACTAAAATAAAAGTATACAGTACATAACAGTAAGTAATTTTTAGATACTAAAACATTTGTTTGATTTAAAATACTATCTTCCGCGTAAATATTTATATAAATATGTTTTTGAAATAAATATCTGATTGATATAATTAATAATTATAATAAATTTGCATATTCCATAACAAAAAACTAACTAAATTATTGTAGGTGAATTTGAATTTGATTCGCCATATTGGGATGATATCAGTGCTTCTGCAAAAGATTTCATTGGAAAGCTGATGTGCGTCAATGTTGAAGAACGTTACACTTGCAAACAGGCTCTTGCGCATCCCTGGTAAGAATCTTTAGAATCATTTCAGAATGAAAATTACTGAAAGAATTTATTTTGCATATTTGTATATTAATGTAGTAGTAATAAAATTCTGCAATATAATCGAATTATTTTGCAAACGTAAACAGCAAGAATATGCAAAGAAAGCTTTAAATGTAAATTTTAATGTAGATTTTTATCTTAAAGTTGCACAAATATTACAAGAACTGATTTGTTCATGAAATAAAATATATATGGATTAAGTAAGTAGTGATAGATACATTTTTTAAGCACTTGTTATCCGTTTGTATTTGAAAAATTCAGTATAATTCAATTATCATGTTTATTAATGAATAATTACTTGCTCCTGTTATCCAATGATTTAAAATAATTTAACAAAATGACAAACATAACAGGATGACAGATTCATTGACAATTAATAAATGACACCCTATATACTGTATTTGTTATCACACATTATTTCGAAATACTTTTTACATTTTTTAAATTTAAATACAAACTACATATTATTAATTGAACATCCATAGCATGAACACGATATAATATTTTCAGGATTTCCGGCAACGCCGCTAGCAATAAAAATATTCATGGTACTGTATCCGAACAACTTAAAAAGAACTTTGCCAAATCAAGATGGAAGGTTGGTATTGATGGTTAATTAGCATGCTATTAATTGTCTATGTATTTTTACCCACCAAGCGCTATAGGAATGTGTCATGATTGCAGCAAGCATACCATGCAGCCACGGTTATACGTCAGATGCAACGGTTGGCGCTAAACAGTGGCCAGCAACAACAGCAACAGGAGAGTACAGGCTCGATCGGCCCCTCCAGCGGCAACCCCATGCAATATCGAGAGCAATCGCAGGTTAGCTACAACCAGCACACGGGGCCGTCGCCGCCGCCCTCGAGCAATCTCAGCAATTGAAGCAAACGCGAGTCGTTGCTCACCATGTCAAGCCTGATGTTTATGAATCTCACTTCTCACTCCATTCCAGTCACTCCCGCCGACTACTCGTCTCCGCTATACGTGTGCAACAAACGCTTTAAGCTGTGGGGCAACACATGCACTGTCCTCTCTGTCCGCTCTCTTTTAAGACAACTTGTGTCGCAACTTAGGAAGCAACGGAAGCATAAGAAGAGCTGAGCTTTAGGCACCGTTAGAATCACGCGCACAATAAGAAGGACAATGTATGTACGCGACGTAGCTGTCGCTTTCAAGCTACGGGAGCGACGGGGATAGATTAGAGCCAATTTGCTTCGCGCCAGTGACGCGTACATATACACATATACATGTACATGCAAAAACGCAATTACTATCGAAAGGCGTAAACTACAATTCGCTTTGGCTGGTCCATGCGATACAATACGATTTGTACCCTCTTCTATAGCAGTACGGCAGTTACGTTCGCAGGCTTTATTCTTATGATTTACGACGTTTCCTGTGTTACACGCACAAGCAATAGCTCGTAGCAGTTCGCTGAATACGTTTCGTATCGATCTGACAGAATAAGAGGCAGTTACATCTCTAGAGATAAGACTTGAAGATTATGTGTCGCGATCATGCCTGTACACTTTGTTAGATCGAATCTGTTCTATATATATTATATAGAAGTATATATACATATAAATATATGCATTACGCGAACAGTACAACGACAAGTTTTTATATTTTATAAAATTCGGTGTAATAAGTAGCGCGGCTGTTTGATACAATTCTGTGCAACCTAGAGACCTGTATCATTAGACCTGGGACAAATATGATTCCATACTACGGTTCCTATGTAATTCGATCCTCGCACGCCGTAACATACACCTCGGTACGATAGAGAATGTTCCTTATCTACTTACACAAGTCGATGATATGCAAAAACTTAATACCAAAACGCAGACGATGTCGAGAGGTCGCTTAGTGCACAGAGACGTAGCCTGATCTGTTTCTTTCTCTCTCTTTCTCTCTCTCTCTCTCTCTCTTTTTTATCTTCTATTAACGCGTATTTCTCTATTTTTTTTTTGATAACTGAGACATGGCCCCGCTTATGTAAATGCTTACACAGACACTTGTACAATGTGCTATTTTATGTAATACGTATCCTGTATGTATACTCCTCTCTTTTAACATATACGTAGTGATATTACTATATTAATATGCGACCCTGAACGGGATTCACTAAGCTAGCTTGACACTTAAAAACGTATATGTACATTATTCTGCTAACATTAATATATATATTGCACTATTACTTCTATTTCTACAGAACGTAAGGTGTACATAATGCACAAATACACATCTAATCTCACATAGACTATCTTGCGTGCCTGATTTTAAGATGACATGAGGAACAATTCTGTAATGTTAATATCATATCGTGATCTTAATTATTTTCGTATACGCATAAAGATATTAGTTGCTCTGTTACTTGCCTTAATTTAACCGTATACTATGACATTTTGATACTTGCATATTACTGACTTATTTCATATACACTTTTTACAATTATCTTGTTTTTAACAAAAAAAATATTACTTATAAAGGTATAGTAATATATTATTTTTTAACCATTGAAAGTGCCATGTATATGGAGTATACTGTAAAGGCACGCTAGACAGACAATGGAAAACCGAGCTAATTATTTTTACGCTTGTATCGTTTTATTTTTGCTAAGACACAAGAAGGAAATCGGCTCGAAAGTGCAATTCATTCCTAGTACCGATTTATATACAATGCAAGTGTTTATCTCATTAATATATGAATCGATGAGAGATAAAGGAAAATGTTACTTAATGACCCTCTGACTTGTTTATCGTGTCTTTATTATTTTCACGTGACGTCAGCAGAAATACAATTAAAAATGCTCTCTTTGCGATGATAATACTAGTCTGCAATAAAAAATATTGTTAAAACATTTTCAGCTGTATTTTAATGTATTCTTGCTAAATACGAATCCGTTTTCCAAATGTGTTATCACGTTACAGTTTTGAGAAAAATGGTATCAAAAAAGTAAAAAATGATAATTTTGAGTGCTTCCATGACTTTGTAGTCAGTAGCAAATTTTTTTCTAAATTTTGTTAATGTCATGTGAAAATACTTTCAGCTTTAATAAAAATGCATTGTTTCGATATGATTTTTCGCTTTCGAGATATAACAATTTGAAAATAGTTCTTTTGTCGAGTAATACATGAAAAAGATATTTTATTACTTTTGAATACTGCAGAAAGTAATTGATTATATGTGGAAAGTAAATGCTTTTGTACTTATATAATATAATCGGATCATACTAAATAAAAAAAACATGAAATTGATTGAAAATACAATATTTTCAAATTGTTGTATTTCGAAAATAAAAAATCATATCAAAACGAAATAAAATGCATTTTAAAGCTACATAAAAGTTAATACTTTAATGTAGCATTAATAAAATTTAGAAAAAAAACTATTCGCTATTATAACATCATAAAATCCTTAAAATCATTGTTCTTGCGCCATTTTTTTTTTTTTAATTATGATGTGGTCAAATATGGAAAATGGATTTGTGTTAAATATCTAGAAAATTACAGGAAATGGTTATATTCGTTCAGACAATGATTCCAAGGTGTAAATTTGCAGACTAGTGTAATTTTACCGAACTCGTATCAAGACTGGTAGAACCCCGAGAGTCTTAATTCTTTTTCGTACGAAATATATGTACAGTTGTAATTCGAATTCGGACGAGAATTTCGTGCTGTTACATGGTTATTAAAGTAAATTCACAAAACTCATAAAAATTAACCACGCCTTAATCAAAATATATTTTGGTCGCGTGCCCCTTTGTGGAAATACGATTGATTGCTGGAATGAATATCATAATTAAATTTAGTAAATTGGGACACAAGTGTGTATATGCCGAGGCACGCAGCTGAACAATATTAACCACTGTTTTAATCGCAAAGCTGAACTATCCTTTGCGAAACATATCCACGAGTAAATTCAGAAATCGACTAGCGATTTCTGCATTTTATAGTTAGTTGGAAGATTTAGAACACTTGAAACATGTGGCTCTCGTTAAAAGATCCGAGCATCGAAAGATGTAAAAGAGAAAAACAAAAAAAGAACGCTAATTGCACTTTATCGAGCGAGCATCTCCGTTGTTACAGTGTATTCTCTCTTTCTCTTCGAATTAAGCTATATAATAATCTCTTTGCATTATCACGTTAGGTATCCGTCCGTACAGCGGGCACTTCTCGATGTAAAGGGGGTACTATAGAGAATTATAGAGAGAAGAATGTGTGATCGATGCGATCACTTTGGGGATGCGTTGGAGAACATCTCTCTGTAGTGAATTTCATCTATTTGGAAGATCTTAGCGTTTCGTTTTTGAAACGCAGCCTTTTTTTATAGCAGAAAAGGAAGGAATAATAATCGGAACACCAATTTTTTGAAAAAAGTTTGTGATTAGACCTCGTACTTTTTATTACTTCGTGTCAAGTCTCATGTTCTCGATCGCAGCCCTAAACTCAATAACGACGGACACTAGAGCACGGCCGTAGAGTAACTTTACCTGATATGCGATGAAGCGCATAAGCGAATGACGTTTATGATTATTGCTAATTACCGTTAATTATACGCTTCTCCAAGTACCTCGGTACGCTGACTCACCGAACTATATTATTGGTGTCTTTCATTGACTTCTGTAAATTGAATTCTGAAGTGCCTTGGATGACATGATGATGGTACATTACCATACGTGCCATTAGTAGAAACTTTAGTAGGTGCTTATCACAAGACGTGTTCGAATATCCGTTGCATTGCGCAAGATAAGTTTCTTTGATTAAGGCTCTTAGATATTTCAAGTGCTCAAGTGGACGTACTTATAAAAGACTTACGTACAGCGATCCGCAATGCACGTTACACGTTAGTGTGTAAGCGAAGGATTAAAAATTGTCGCAGATGTGTTATACGTACTTCTCTTATCAGTACATTAGCTCAGTAGATAGAATATTATTTTAACCGTGCAGTAATAGTCGTTCGAATAAACACCCCTGCGTTCATTCAATTTCAGTGCTAAAGTGCTTCGCGTGTAATCAACATCATGTCATCTAATAAGAGAGATTCGCTAGAAAACATTCGTTTTACGCTAATAAACGCGTTGTGATGGCTCTGATGAAAATTCTAAAGAAAAACAGAAAAAAAAATGAAAAAATGGGAGATCTCAAGACCGGAACTTTAGCTTGTATTCAAGTACCGTGCCACGTGAACAAACACATATCGGCAGGAATACTGTAAATGTGATGTAAAGATAAGCTGATTCTAAGTAGTGATGAGAACGAATTGTTAGTAAAATCTTATCTAAAAAAAAAAAAAACTAAAAGTATGTAAAGGCCAATCTGACTGCTGTGTGCATAGAGCGAGAGCGAGAACGATAGAAGTATAGCGTGATGTGCAGGACGATGTCGAAGGTTCTCCTAAGCCGCAGATCCTTTGGCATCTGCGCGTATATCATTATTACCGAAATATTTCGAACATTATCTAGAAAGCGAGCGTCGCACCGTATTTGTAACATTAACGCGGTGCGTTAATGCCCAACGCTAATATATCTTCCTACTGTATTTTTCTCATTGTACACAAGGCTTGCGATCGTTACGCTAGAAAACACAAACATACGGGAATTGATTCGGTGATCGTCTCCCGAATCCCGGAAACGGATTTTGCCGTCTTATTATCGCAAAAAAGTTACAAAGTACAGAAGAAACTCTCGATACTGTAATAGATAAATATGATAATCGAGACAATTCGCGCGCCGTTGCCGTCGCGCACTTGGCGCTGTAAAGAGAATAATCAGAAAGATAAAATAGTTTAAAATGTGCCAATGTTTAACGATGTCCTTTCGGTGATATTGAATGGCGACAGCTTATTATCTCTTCGTTATACGCTCGATTCGGCAGCGATGTTACGCGTCTCACTGTTCTGTCGGGCTCCATGACTTGAAAGCTTTGACTCTGTAATATAGCATATGTTCTCTTTACACATTGCGGCCTATGTCTGAGAAAGCGTGTATTTGAGAAAATGGGAGACACAAAGAGGAGAGTAAATCCTACTTTAAATGTTACCTGAAACGCTGCTCTTTTGAGAATTTTATTTTCTGTTGCTGACCTTTACCGATGAAAGTGAAAAGCTATTCTTTTCGATAAGAAGAATGATTGGCCTTATGAAAGATTAACGATTGATATACATATTTTGAGAGATAGAGAATTAAGTGTTACAGCGAACGGCGCATTAAATGTGCAATTTACTTTTGTCTATATGATCTTATTTAATT